GCCTTAGAAAAGAAAAATTAGGAAAACAAATACATGCTAAAATAAATGCAGACCCTGCTTTTTATTAGAATGAGCATTTTCACTCAATCATGGTGGCCTGCTACCAGCTTCGTTGGTTTAATTAGATATGGTATAGACATTTTTCCAGACCATAACATATTAAAGCCACTGAGAAAGTCCATATTTATTAAAAATAGGCATTTTTAACACCAGAATTTATGGTTCTGCTGCAGACCCCAGTGATCCAATATAACCTTTTGCTCAAGCCACCATCCATACCTCAACATATTGTGCAAAAAGTGTTCTTCAATAATTAAGTGGTCTTATACACATCATACTATAGTTGTCATCAGCTGACTTCCTTCATAAATTTTTTTATGAGATGCTTACGCTTTCCACAGTTGATCTTCATGATGCTGATAATCTCCATAAGTACATTAAATTATTGCTTAAGGCACAAACACACTTTTAAGATACAAAAAGAGATGCAAAACAAAGTATTAGTTCATACCTGCTTGTTTATGTTGGCCCCTGCTTGAATCAACCAGATCAGGCACTGAGGATGTCCTCCAAAAGCAGCAATATGGGCTGGTGTTTGGGCAAAACGTGTTGTACAGGCATTTACAGTAGCTCCAGCTCTCACTAACTGTATTAGGCACTCCAGCTTTAAAGATACATGAAGAAAAACTATTTAGAAATATTATGTATCATACATATTAATTGATAGTTATGTATTGATAGTTAAATTGAAAGAAATAGTGGGAAAGTATCAACTAAATTAATTATTGCTGAATTAAGACTCATGCAATAGAACTAACACCATACTACCTCTTTCCAACCTCCTCCATGATTTTCAGTCTCTAGTAGCCAAGAGAAATTTAATTCTTGCCACAAACATTTGAAAAAACAACCCTACCACCTTGAATTTAATAGAAAAAGACACTTCATTTGGTTTGCTTTTGTTAGAAAATATATTAAGTTTTTTTTTAATCAGGCAAGATATCAAAGTTATTAAGCACTACCTAGCAATTAAACCAGTTTCTGATCACTTAAACTGGTTTGTGTGTAATGTCTGTCCCTAGTCTATAAGGGTAAATCTAGGAAGGGTTAAGTTGTCCTGGGCATCCTTTTCACAGCTCCTATGTAGAACAGAACCATCCAGTTTTACTGCAGTTGGGAATTGTACAGCCCCAGGAAGCATGGCCAGAAGTGTTTAATGGGGCTAACTAGATATGGACCTTATTAACTGTTTTCATTTCTTATCTTGATGACAATATAAGCTATGGAAACAGTCATGACACTGATCTGTGAAGCATGAGCATTAGGCACGGCTGACAGAGAATTCAGGAAGTTAACTATTGGAAATAAAATGAAAGCTTGTTGTCTGGGTGGGGGTTATCGGTACGGTAAGTGAGTACTAACAGCAAAATACCTAAAACGCCTAGCAAAATCAAACACCCAGTTGATGCTGAAATATGATAATGTTCCAAGACTTGGAAGCCTGCAAGACCTGGAACAGAATTCCATCAGAGGTGGTACAAGCACCTTCTCTGGATTCCTTTAAGAGTCAATCAGACATTTATCTTGCCGGGATCCTGTGAACCCAGCTGACTTCCTGCCTCTGGCGCAGGGGGCTGGACTTGATGATCTTCCAAGGTCCCTGCCAGCCCTAATGTCTATGAAATCAAAAACACTTCCTTCTGCTTGAAGAGAAACAAAATCTGACATGACCTTAAATAGAAGCAGGCAATTATTTTGGCTGGACAGCCATTTAATGAGTTTTGGTGAGCTGTCAAAGGCTGCAAGTGTAGCCCCATCCCCTAGTCGCCATCTTGAAACCAGAAGTCCCATACCCACACACTGCTCCCCCATAATCCTCAACCGTTGCCACCAGAAGTCCCTTGCCCTTGCCTCCCAGAAGTACTCCTTTTGGAAGGGGGCTGCCATCTTGGAACCAGAAAAACACCAAATCATACACCAAAAACAAAACCTACTTTAACATACTTTAATTTTATTTAAAAAAATATTTTTGTCCTGATTTATGTGCGTTTTCATAGTATATATAGAGGTGATTGCATAATAACTCAAAAATAAAGCCTTAGGCTTGCATATTGTGTGTGGGGGAATATGAGGTATGGAGGGGGTGTCTGTGTGTGTGTGTGTGGGGGGGGGGGGGGGGGGGGGGGTAAAAAAACAACACCCACACACCACCTCTCCCATGGTGCACAGCCCCTGTTGCCAGCAGCAGCAAGTTCCAGGAGCTGCATGTGGTGGCAAGGAATAGAGCCAGGCTGAAAAACATCTTCCTGAAAACAGATCAGGGGCAGGCAAAATATGGCCTGTGGGCTAGATATGGCCTGCCAGGAGATGTTCATCCAACCTGCTGGTGCCTGCCAATTAATTGAACCCTGCCCAGCCTGTGCACTTCACTCCTTCACTTTTGCATGGGAGGGCCCCACCTCCGCCAGCGCGCACAGCTCCTAGGTGAGGCCACTGCAGTAGCCAGCAGGGGACTTGCTCAGCTTCCCTGGCTTCCAGCGAGGGCTCCTCCTCATGTCCCTGCTGCAGCTCTTGCTCCTCGCAGCAGGTAGGGAAGCTGCAGCTAGGCAGAAGCTCAGAGCCCAGGATCTGGGGCCCATGCCTGGTGTCACTGTGGAGCCCTCGTCAACCTGCTTCTATCACGTGGGTCTCCCCACAGCTCATGTGCACATCCCAGGACTTGCATGCCACCGAGGGGAAGCCCCATACAATGGAACCAGCAGCCTGGCTCCACTCCCTGCCACCACATGCAGCACCCAGGATTCCGGCAATGTCCCAGGAGCTGTGTGTTGGGGCAGGTAAGGAAGCCAGCTCCATCACATGGGGGGGCATACATGGCATGTGAGTACTGGCAGGAGCACTAGCCACGAGGAACCCAGTGCAATGAAACCAGGCTAACCTGGGTTCCATGTCCTCACTGGGCATGGGCCCCACAAACTGGGCTCTGTGCTCCTGCCCAGCTGCAGCTTCCTCCCACTCACCACTACTTCCCTATCTGCTGCCTGCAGCAAGAGCTGCAGTAGGGACACAAGGAGGAGCCGCTGCTGGAGGTGGGAGAAGCTGAGCAGGTCCCCTGGCAGCTACAGCAATGGCCTCACCTGTGCATGCTGGCCAGGGCTGGGGCTATTCCACACACAAGAGAAGGAGCTAAGCATATAGGCTGAGCAGGGTACAATTAATTGGCAGGCACCAGCCAGCTGGATTAAAAAAAAGCCTGGCAGGGCCCGTAAGCCATATTTTGCCCACCCCTGATCTTACGTGTTTTCAGGACAATCTATAAGGAAGGAAGAAAAGTTCTTCACACCCACCCTCCTCGTATTCCTCCAAAGAGCTGAAACAAATGCAAAGAAAACAAAATGCTGGTCAAACGTCTACAGTCCAAACTAAGTATACAAAAATAAGTAAACTTTCAGATTTTATGTTGATTACCATTCTTTCAGATTAGAATTGCTATAATAGCCATTACCAATAACATAAATTTGTTTCCCTTTAGTCTGCCACATTCTGTTTAGTATCACACTAAGCAAAGGTTTTGGCTATTTTAATAATCACAATTTTGAATACTGTTGTAAAAGTTTATAGCCGTATCAGGCTATTGTCACTTCTGACATTTTCTTAACTCAATCTCAGCTTTGATAAATGGTAGGTGTTGCAATTTTCTCAATTTTAAAAAGAAATAGAATTGGAGAATCACTGCCCTCTTTCTTTACTGTTTAAAACTGATTTTGCACCTCTATTAATGATGATAATTAGCCATACTAAAGAGTATGGTTAAGTGAAATGTTGGCGGGGAGGGGGGGCTTGGTAAACTCAAATAATTTAAGAGAGACAAGGCACAGTATCCATTCTAGTGATTCTCAACCAAGATGCTACCGCACCCTGGGCTCCCTTGACATCCTTTCAAAGGTGCCACAATTGTAGAACTGTTCAGTGTACAAACATGATTCCCCAAGGTAAACCTAAAAGATTTCACACAGAATTACTTACTGATAAAAATATATATATTTCCCCCCACCCCCTCCCCCGACCTGTTGTGGTCTGAGTTCTTTGCAACAGAAGAACTGCTCTATTATTTTTTGGCGCACGGGGTGGGGAGACATGACTCCAACAAGCCAAAACTAGAAGCTGGCACAGGATCACTAACTGAAGACTAAGCAGTCAACAATTGGACAAGTATGAAACATGGGGAAAAGAGTTGGGGGGGGGGGGGGGGGGGAGGAAGGAAAACAATCTTATGCTAGGTCCCTGCCAGCAATGGCTAGAGATCATGAACTTAGATATCTGTTTATCTTCTTGCGTGTCTGTAGAGTATTTCCCCACTATATAATTAACTAATTTGGCTAGATGTTTGTGTGGAATTCATTCATCTCTCAAGAAGCTAGTCTCTGTTTTTATATCTTCCATTAAAACAAAAATGAAATTTAAAAAGGAAGAGCAGCTTTGGAGAGACTGTGGTTTATACTCAAGAAGATACCAGAACACTGGACCATTAAAAATGAAGGGCATCACACCTTCTGACCATTATTTTTGTTTTAGCCATAGTAGTTGCTATGTAGCAAAAAAGCTAAGAAATCACAGGTTTAGAACTCTTTTTCTATCTTTGCATTTTCTTAAATTTATCTTGGTACTAGACTTTTGTGTCTCATTCTTTCCTCCCTCTCCCCACACTTCCCCTCTGACACAGCTAGCCTTTTCTACCTTCCTCATTGTGGGGTCAGTCACCATTACCTATATAAAACCTAATAATATAGCCAAAACTCAAAACTATATTTTTGAGTATTTGGGGTTTTTTAATTTATGAAGACACTGAAATACTTTCTCCCCTGAGCCCACTATCCTTGGGCAGAAACAAGTTAGAGTTATAGAAAGCTGGGAGTACTTACTACAAGATGCCATATATTAAAAAGTTATATTTACAAACTCACTGTTTTGCCATCCATTGCCCACCCAAGAAGTCCTATACCAATGACTACCTAAGCAGAATAACGACATGACAACTACACACCTTCCTCTCTCATGTAGGATCTGCTTAAGCCTTTCAGAAACTAACATTGAGAGTCCCCAATAAGTTTAAAAATATAAGTACTTTCTCATTTCAGTTATGACCACTCTGAATTAAGATGAAAGACATTAATAAATACACGAGCGAATGAAGGTGTGCACAGTCCATGAATGCAGCTATTGTTTCATTTCCCAGGAACAGGTGTATTACTCAGTCTTATCTAATGAAAGGTCTATTTTGGTACCCATGCAATCTTATGAATATTTAAATACCAAATTTGTTTTTTCTTAATTACTCAAATATGTCTCTTTGAAGTACGCATTACACTTTCCTAGCCCATAGGAAGGGTAGGGTTTGTAACAGAAATACAGCATTCACACAAACTTGATGTAAATTCAATGCATACTTAAATTCTTCATAAATTCAGATACAGCCTGTCATATCAACAGCATTCCCTAAAGTTGGGAGTCAGCTCTGCTTTTACCTGCTCCAGAAGACAGCAGGGCTGAAGCTCCTCCCTCCAGTGACAGAGTTTATCATCTTTTTGTGTCTGCTCCTTTCTCTAAGGGTACCTATGCATCGGCAGAGAGGCTGTTCTTATGTGTTAATTACAATGC